ACCTCGCTCAGCCAGTGAGCGGCCGGTCTGTATGTGGGATCCGAACCCTCGGCGGGAGCGCTGCCGCGCTTCCCAAGCGGTGCACTGTAGCAGTGCGCCACCGGGCCGGCCCTAATTGTTCTTCCCAAATGAGTATTTAAAATGTGCTCAGGCATTAAAGTATAACTTTTCTGAACTCACAGAAAGTGCCTATTTATCTGAGTAGTCTGCTTCAGTCACAGCAAAGTGTCCACTCAGTCTCCAGGTAATTCTGAATCTCACTGAAATCAAGTTAAGCACTGCATTACCCAGACCTGCAGCACCCTCTCCTACCCCTGTCTCACCCCATCACTTAAGTCTTAGTCAGTCATACATACCTGTCTCTGACTTCAGGCTGAATCTTAGGGTGGAACACATCTGAAAATGTCTGTGCGGTTCAGAACAAACTCTGACATGAAAAGTTCCCACCCATACCACTGAATAACATCCTGTTGTTTTGGTTGTTGGTTTTGTTGTTGTTGTTTTGTTTTCCGTCAAATCTGCGCAATAACTCCTTTGATTTGACTTTCATGTGGAATGATCTGCCCAATGCCATTTTTCTGAAACATTCAGAACAAGATACAATCTCATTACAGTCAGCTACATAGAGTGGACCTTTCAGAGCATAAAGAAACATCTGTCTTCCGTCTGTGGTGCCTGAAAAATAGGACTTTCAATAGGGTGCTTTGTAGAACGCTAATGCTTTAAAGGGCAAGAAATCCATTTCTGACTAAAATCTCAATAAGTACGTCTAACAGAATATTTTCAAAGAGCATTTCAAAGGCCACTGTGGCAGAGTGGTTTAATAAGAACATAATCTCTACATTCAGCCAGACCTGGTTCAAATACTTCAAGTACTCTGACATGCCCTAGCTGTGTGTTCTTGGAAAGTTACTTAACCCTGATAATTTTAGGTTTTCTCAGGGATATAAAGTAGAAAGAATATTAGTATGTACCCCAAGAGATATTATTTTCAAAGAGACTGACACATAATACAGCGTTAAACATCAGTTGTTGTTCCTATTTTGTTATTGGTGCTGTTAACACTAGAGGCAGAATGGCCTGATTCCTGATGCACCTGAAAGAGCACAGGATTTGGAATTAGAAGACCTGACTTTGCACTTTACCACTGTCACTTACAGTTGTGTCACCCTGGGGAAATCACCAAATGCTTCTCAACTCAGCTTCCTTATTGTAAAATGGAAAATAAAAACAGCTCACTCACAGATAACAACTGTGAGTTTCAAATGAGTTGATTCATGTGAATTTACTTCTCCAACTACTAAACTCTGTAAGTATGCATTATTTACTATTGTTACTGCTATGGGCTGAATGTTTGTGTCACCCCAAAATTCATACATTGAAACTCTAATCCACAATGTGATGGTATTAGGAGATGGGGAATTGGGAGGTAATTACATTTAGATGAGGTCATGAGGATGGAGCCCCTATGTTGGAATTAGTGTCCTTACAAGCAGAAGTGATTAACGGGTCTCTTTCTGTCATGTGAGAATACAGCTAGAAGTCAGCTGTTTTCTATAAGCCAGGAAGAGGGCCCTCACCAAAAATTGAATCTGCTAGTATTTTGATCTTGGACTTCCCAGCCTCTAGAACTGTGAGAAATAAATGTGTTGGTTAAGCCACCCAGTCTACATTTGTTATCACAGCCTGAACAGGACTATTAAGAACAACACCAGAACTGAAAAACATCTCATTTTTTTTTTAACAATCACATAGGGAAGCATTTATTTGAGGTTTAACATGAAATCATACAAATAAAATTTATATAAACACAAATCCACATAGAGTCATAACACAGATAGCAAGGGACAAAGTAAAAACAAGAAAAACTAATTGGTGGCTATATACAGTTGGA